GAAGGGTCCAGACCCGAAACGTCAGCTTTCCTGCTCCTCTGATGCTGCCTGGCCTGCTGTGTTCAACCAGCTCTACACCTTGTCAACAACTCAAAAGTCTTTTTTGTGACAAAAAATATCACTTAATAGAACCAAAATAGAGAATAAACTCAACCCTTGAGTACTACCACCTCCACCTCCACCTCCATCTCCATCTCCATCTCCATCTCCTGGTACCACGGATACCCCGCCATCTTCCCCTACATCCCGCAGCCATTTTAATTGCGGAAACAGTATGAGAACTACAGCTGTTGGGAGACCGCTCTCACCTGCTCTAGTGTCGAAAGTTACCACAAACACGGCCACCACTTGCTCCTCCTCTTCCTGCTGCTGAGCTCCTGGAGCCGCGGCCACATCTCTCTCCGGGTCCGATCCCGGGTTCCAGCTGTCGGCAGCTCCGCGCGGTGAGGCCGCTGATCCAGCTCCGTTCCCAGGAGCCGGGCTGGAGCCATCCCAAGGAGAGAATGTGACGGCGGGACCTTCCTCGTACTCGAGCAGCGGGGCGCGGTCTGCCATCCCAACGGCAGAACTCAGCTGCGCTCAAAGAACTACTCAAGCTCACTCCGAAGTGTCGACTCGCCACAGGTGCTGGAGAAACCGGAAACTACTGTTGGGAACCGGACATGGCATCAGGCTGGTGGAACCAGATATGCGCCATCTTGAGAAGGTCAATATGTGACCTCTTGCTAAAGAAGGATAGGAAGTCTCAGTTTGAAGTTTTCCTGCTTTGTTTCTGGGTCTGAAATGCTCTTTCTAGTAATTATTGCAGGTTACAATTTCTTTGATTGGAGTATTGTTATTGGCTATGTTCACAATGTTAAAAAAGCTACATTTATTCAGCATTTTTCATAACTTAAGAATGTAGTACAAAGCTAACAAAGTACAGATGTATTCACTGCTGCAATTAAGAAATGTTGTAATGAAGGAAATGTGAAGCCAAATTGCACGCAACAAAGGACAATGTAATAATATGTTTTTGTACCATTGATAAGCATTGAATATCGGGCAGAATCTCTTTTATATCTGGCCCCAAAAAGGGCCTCAGTTTAACTGCTCATTTGAAAGACTTCACTTCAGATAGTGCAACGCTCCCACAGCCTTGATTTTTATACTCAAGCCCTGGAATGAAAGTTGAGTATACAACCTTTGGACTCAGTGGCAAAAGAACTGGTCACACGCTGATGTGACTATTGGGACACGTTGATTCTGCTTTAGGTATTGTGGAGAGACACCTACATTTCAAGTTGTTGAAAATGGGATCTAGACTCCACTGTTGTATAGCCTGAGACAAGGTAAAAGAACTCCATGGATGGAAATTTGATAATTTCTCGCCATGTTTTAGAGTTAATTTAGGCTATATTGCATTGTATTATGCTTCTATACCTAATAAAGCGGAGGTAATCATAAACATTATCAACATAAAAATTCAAAGGTTGTGAATGTTTGAACAACTAGATCAAGTTATTGTTTTAATTAATGTAACAGTAACAGACATGCCAGCTACACTAGTACGTATATCAAAAGAGAAACTCTTAAAAATCGTAAGGTATAAAATCATGAGTTGCTTTTTCTTCAAATATAATTTCACATAGATTGGCATGTTAGCAAAAAAAATTTGTTTGTATCTTATTTAACCCCTAACTAGTCAGATTTACAAAAATACAGTATTTATTACATCTAAAAATGCTTTACAAAGATCTTTTTAAAAATCCTACTCGTTGTGCATTCAGTCTCAAAGGTTATGTTTACCTGGTTAGTATTTGTAGTTTGTAGAATTGCTAATTGAGGTCGGTTTCTGAGAAATATTCAATTTTGATTGACATCTCTGAAGCCCAAAGACTCCAGCACGGTGTTAGCATTATTTTTGTTAGTTTATAAATCCCTTCTCTTTGTACTGCTATATGTTCAATAATGTTCTTCATGGCAGGGAGTCAACACTTTCAATCTACATGTGATTACAGCTCCAGTCCTGTACAAATAGCTGACTGCAAATGCTCCCAGGTCAACCAGATGTGGGGAATAACTAATAATGTTAAAATGATTAAGTTGCTATTAATACTACCTACTTTGTGATGGAAATTTATTGTAATTGAGCAACAGGTTTAGCCATAAAGCAAAAGAGATAGCAGGTAAATTCATTGAGAAGTAATTATTTCAATTAACAGCTTGCTGCTTCGGACCAGAAGGGAAAAGCTTTGCACAGAGACTAAAATTATTTCTTAAACTTTCTAGCTTAGTCTTCCTAACTAACCACATTGTTAAACATAGACATTATAAAACACAAAACATATGAAATGTAAATTTAATAAATATCTCAAAATGCCAAGAGAACTACGTAGTATCTAGATAACAGTAACAAGACCATTATTATTTGGAACTGGTTAGATCCTAGGCTGTTATGTCTATGGTCCAAAGTCAAAATCTCATTCCTTACTTACAAATTAGTTAATGATTAATTTACCCCACCCTGACTTCCTGATTTTGAACACACCTCTTTCTGAAAAAGAAACTAAAGGGTCCAGACCCGAAACGTCAGCTTTCCTGTTCCTCTGATGCTGCTTGGCCTGCTGTGTTCATTCAGCTCTACACCTTGTTATCTCAGATTCTCCAGCATCGGCAGTTCCCGCTATCTCTGAAACAAAAATGTATTTCTTTTTGCAGAGATTCACTTTAAAGAAACATTTTTTGGTCAATTAGTTCTAAGGCAAAAAGGATGGGCTTTGAGATATTCATATGGCTGTCAACCTTATGTTCTGGTGCACAAAGACAAATGTTACTAAATACATGCAGTTGTCACTGGAACCTTTATATGATTCAGTGTTTGTGAAAAATCGACCAAATCTTTCGGAGGTTTCTGAAGTGAGAGCGGCTGTACCAAGACTCCAGGTATCACACTGGACCTCCTTCCAGAAAGAGAAAATCTGACTGGGAAGCACCATTCCTTCAGCAGGCTGGTTACTACTGACTCCAACTAACATCCAAAGCAGATACTGACAGTCATAAATTGAGGCAGGGTGTCTCGACTAAACCAGCAACTATCAAAAGACATGACAACTAAGAAATGAGAGACAACAAGGTGCAGAGCTGGATGAACACAGCAGGCCAAGTAGCATCATAGGAGCAGGAAGGCTGACGTTTCGGGCCTAGACCCTTCATCAGAAATGGGGGAGGGGAAGGGGGTTCTGAAATAAATAGGGAGAGAGGGGGAGGCTTTCCGGAGGGAGGAGGGTAACTTCTTCAGGCTAGGCATCCTTAGAAGAAATGCCTTGTTTAAAAAAAAGTCCTTTTCATTGACCTTTTGATCTTAAATACAAAATCAAGGAATGCACAATCCTTCCAGCTCAAGTCTATAAAAATGATTAAATATGAAGCCTGAAGAATGCTTTCAAACCCTGCAAATCCCTATTCAGTTTCTTCCTCCTATGACAAACAGCCTTGCCTTCAAAAACTTGTTCATGAATTTCTTCTTTCACTGTGTTTTTGAATCCCTCGATATATCCTGCAGAGACATGAATTAATGATCAGATGAGCCTCTGAGGTAAGCCATCATGTCACTGTGACGCCAAGTCATGTACGAATGTATGACGAAGAATTTAGACCCTATACATCCCAAAGCAGTTGCTACGAAGCCTAAACAACATGAACAATGTAATAATAAATGTTGTTTAACAGTAATCTAGAAGGCTGGCCTGGGCTGGTATGAAGACTTAAGGGACACACATTAGAACACAATACATAACCTGTTCATTTCTCTTCTATTTTCCTTAAGCTATGTTCTATCTATCCTCTCCTTTCTCCTGTGTTCTGCATAGTAAACAAATACAGTTACTATGTTGTGCAATGTAAATATAGATGCTACAATCCATGATGTAATACAGATTCTGCAAGCTGAGAACAAATCTCCTAAGCATTCCTAAATAAAATGTAACCTTACTTATGATCTTGCAAGAAGCTTGTGAAATATCAGTATTTTTAATAGACCTCTTTGCAAACCTATCTTTTGAAGTTTGCTAATTGATAGGCTGTACTCTTCCATGACTGATAACAATAACCATTCATTGATTGAAGTCTCTCATCCCTGTAATTTTGTGGAAGTGTTAAGAATAAGAGGGCACAGATTTAAAATAATTGACAAAAGAAAAAGGTGATACAAGGATAACATTTTTCATGCAGCAAATGATCAGGGCAGTGCCTCGGAACATGGTACAATCATTCAAAAATAAATTAGACGTGTATGAGGAAAGGAACAAAGTACATGGTTATGGGGAAAAGGCAAGAGAATGACACTAAGTGAAATATTCCGAGACAGAACAGGCTGAATGGCCTTCTGTGTTGTATTAGTTTTGTGATTTTATGATCATTCTTGGATATCTTTTCTGCAACCTCTTGAAATCAATTAAAAATGAATATGCTGGATACTGTTTCAAATAAGTCAAGTAAAAACAAACTACAGGAAAATTAATATAATTGTTAATTTTAACAGTCATTCTGTACTGGTTGTGGAAATACTGCTAAGAATATAGTTGAGGCCTTATATGTCCTTTGATTAAACCACCACCAAGATCTTATAAAAGTCAATGGTTTCCTAACTAATAACATGAAGGAAAACGTTTCCATTCCATTGACAGTCTGCTACTGAGATAACAAGGTGTAGAGCTAGATGAACACAGCAGGCCAAGCAGCATCAGAGGAGCAGGAAGGCTGATGTTTCAGGCCTAGACCCTTCTTCAGAAATGGGGGAGGGCAGGGGAAGGGGGTTCTGAAATAAATAGGGGGAGGCGGATAGAAAATGGATAGAGGAGAAGATATGTGGAGAGGAGACAGACAGGTCAAAGAGGTGAGGATGGAGCCAGTAAAGGTGAGTGTAGGTGGAGAGTTAGGGAGGAGATAGGTCAGTCCAGGGAGGACGGACAGGTCAAGGGGGCGGGATGAGACTGGTAGGTAGGAGATGGGGGTGGGGCTTGAGGTGGGAGGAGGGGATAGGTGGGAGGAAGGACAGGTTAGGGAGGCGGGGATGAGCTGGGCTGGTTTTGGGATGCAGTAGGAGGAGGGGAGATTTTGAAGCTTGTGAAGTCCACATTGATACCATTGGGCTGCAGGGTTCCCAAGCAGAATATGAGTTGCTGTTTCTGCACTGCAGGAGGCCCAGGATGGACATGTCGTCTGAGGAATGGGAGGGGGAGTTGAAATGGTTCGCGACTGGGAGGTGCAGTTGTTTAGTGCGAACCAGGAACAGCGGATGCAGTATACCACGTTAGCAGATGTGCAGGTGAACATCTGTTTGATGTGGAAAGTCTTCTTGGGGCCTGGGAAGGGGGTGAGGGGGGAGGTGTGGGGCAGGTGTAACACTTCCTGTGGTTGCAGGGAAAAGTGCTGGGTGTGGTGGGGCTGGAGGGGAGTGTGGAGTGGACACGAGAGCCACGGAGAGAGTGGTCCCTCTGGAAAGCAGATAAGGGTGGGGAGTGAAAAATGTCTTTGGTAATGGGGTCGGATTGCAGATGGCAGAAGTGTTGGAGGATGATGCGTTGGATCCGGAGGTTGGTGGGATGGTACGTGAGGACGAGGGGGATTCTGTTTTGGTTGTTATTGCGGGGAGGGGGTGTGAGGGATGAGTTGTGGGAAATGATGGAGACATGGTCGAGGGTGTTCTCGACCACTGGGGGGGGGGAAGTTGCGGTCCTTGAAAAACGAGGACATCTGAGATGTACGGGAGTGGAATGCCTCATCCTGGGAGCAGATGCGGCGGAGGCGAAGGAATTGGGAAAAGGGGATGGCATTTTTGCAGGAAGGTGGGTGGGAGGAGGTGTATTCTAGGTAGCTGTGGGAGTCGGTGGGCTTGAAATGGATATCGGTTTCTAGGTGGTTGCCAGAGATGGAAACAGAGAGGTCCAGGAAGGAGAGAGAGGTATTAGAGATGGTCCAAGTGAACTTAAGGTTGGGGTGGAAGATGTTGGTGAAGCTCCTCCACTCCCATACATCTCAGATGTCCTCGTTTTTCAAGGACCGCAACATCCCCCCCCCCCGTGGTCGAGAACGCCCTCGACCGTGTCTCCCGCATTTCCCGCACCTCATCCCTCACACACCCTCCCCGCAATAACAACCAAAACAGAATCCCCCTCGTCCTCACGTACCATCCCACCAACCTCCGGATCCAACGCATCATCCTCCAACACTTCCGCCATCTACAATCCGACCCCATTACCAAAGACATTTTTCCCTCCCCACCCTTATCTGCTTTCCGGAGGGACCACTCTCTCCGGGACTCCCTTGTCCGCTCCACACTCCCCTCCAGCCCCACTACACCCAGCACTTTTCCCTGCAACCGCAGGAAGTGCTACACCTGCCCCATCCCTCCTCCCTCACCCCCATCCCATGCCCTAAGAAGACTTTCCACATCAAGCAGATGTTCACCTGCACATCTGCTAATGTGGTATACTGCATCTGCTGTTCCCGTTGTGGCCTCCTCTACAGCGGGGAAACCAAGCGGAGGCTCGGGGACTGCTTTGCAGAACACCTACGCTCGGTTTGCACTAAACAACTGCACCTCCCAGTCGCGAACCATTTCAACTCCCCCTCCCATTCCTCACTCGACATGTCCATCCTGGGCCTCCCGCAGTGCCACAACGATGCCACCCGAAGGTTGCAGGAACAGCAACTCATATTCCGCTTGGGAACCCTGCAGCGCAATGGTATCAACGTGGACTTGACAAGCTTCAAAATCTCCCCTCCCCCTACCGCATCCCAAAACCAGCCCAGCTCATCCCCGCCTCCCTAACCTGTTCTTCCTCCCACCTATCCCCTCCTCCCACCTCAAGCCCCACCCCCATCTCCTTCCGACTAACCTCATCCCGCCCCCTTGACCTGTCTGTCCTCCCTGGACTGACCTATCCCCTCCCTAACTCCCCACCTACACTCACCTTTACTGGCTCCATCCCCGCCTCTTTGACCTGTTTGTTTCCTCTCCACCTATCTTCTCCTCTATCCATCTTCTATCCACCTCCCACTCTCTCCCTATTTATTTCAGAACCCCCTTCCCCTCCCCCATTTCTGATGAAGGGTCTAGGCCCGAAACGTTAACCTTCCTGCTTGGCCTGCTGTGTTCATCCAGCTCTACACCTCGTTATCTCAGACTCTCCAGCATCAGCAGTTCCTGCTATCTCTGAGACAGTCTGCTACTGCTCCACTTGCCTGGACAGGGATCTACGGAACAGAAGCTATGACCTTTACAACATGGCGGCGCTGCGATCCCGCCTGTGCGGGGTGAGGGCGCGCCTGCGCACTGCTGTGTTGTGCTGTCCGGGATCGGTGGAAGTGGGTGCAGGTATTGAGGCCGGTGTAGAGAACACGATGTTCCAGTTCCTGGTGAGTGAGTGAGGGAGTGGAAACGGGAAGTGTGACTTTCCTGAACTGAAGCCGCTCTGAGCGAGTGTCCGCGTTGGGCTCGGGCTGCGGCCTCCGCTAACTTCCGCCGGAGTTTTCCCCAAGACTGGCTGGTTGCTAATGATGGGCGTTAGCTGCTCCTTTCTCCCTGTTCAGGCAGGCTGCTGCTGCTAGTTGTATATGGAGCTTCCTATTTGGTATAGGTAGGAACTTCTGTTAGTATCATGGCTCTGTGTGGTTCACTTGGTTTCAGGGAATTAGAAGCATTTCCTCTAGGCATTGTCTTTGAATGGGATACTAAATTTTATCCACTTGTTGCTTCATGTTCATGTCAATTATTCTGGCATCTAAGGTTTTGGAGTAGATCTGTATTCTGGCATCATTCAAACACAACTTACTTGTTTCTTCCTGCAGCCTAAAGTGGATTTATTCCTTTTAACCAAAATATTCTTTATTTGTAATGTATAATAGTACATGGCTTGATCGTTCAAAGTTGACATTGTATAAAATATCAGTTTGTTTCAGTTGTTCTACATTTGCAATTACAGTTACTATATACAATATTAATTACATGCCAGAAATACAACTTGAGTTTTATGTGGTTATAGCCCCTCTGTGTACTATGATAAAAGGGTCTTATGATGGTCTTTCTTAGTTGTCCCTTTTGAGAAGCAGTCCCCAGCTTCAGTGTGTGTCTTGGTACGTGGCCTAGGACTTTGCAATGTGCCAGGCTGCAATACTGAAGTGTTGACAGTATTTTGCGTTGGAAGATTGATGTTTGTTGATGGATATATTTGACCATAATACCAAATATCCTCCTTGTGCTTTTTCAAAAGAGTGTGGGTGGTATGATGTATCCATAGACTTGATCTCTGAAAGGCAGCATCTTTGACAGTCTACAGCTCTCTAAGTGTTTCTCTGAAATGTTAGTCTAGAACTTTGTGCACGAGTGTTTGAAGTGTGACTTCCTGAAACAGGCATGAGTGCTACCAACTTAAATGGAACAAACTGAAATAAATCTGATGAATGATGCAGAACATTAAAAAAATGAAAACTGAAAATGCAGGCAAAAGACAGCAAATTTGGTAATATTGCTGGAGATGGAGTTTACATTTTCAGATCATGAATTTTCATTAGAACTCTTCTGACCCAATAATCTGATTGCTGGTAACCCTCCATTTCATGGCTTCTGCCATTCCCTGACCTTCAGTCATTACGGATTCTTGATCTTCCCAAACCTGCTAGTCCCCCTGCTTGTTTCATGGAGGGTGGGGGGGGGGGCTTTGATGCAGAAAAACACCTTTTGACCGTAAGTCAATGAGGTGGTGATTGTAAGTATTCGTCATTTAGATTATTTTCTGTGCCTTTTTTATTCACTCATGGGATATGGTCATCGCTGGTCATCCGCTATGGTAGAGACTGGCCCATCTCATGTTGAAACGTGCCTTTGCAAAGAATGTCTGGAGAGAGATACAATAGTGTTCGTAGAGGTTCATTCTGAGCAGCTGTGTGACATGGGACTTTGTGCTTTATGGACTATTGCCAGGGTGAACCTAATTTTTTTTTAAAAGCTGGTGACTAAAGTAAAGGACAAGGGGAACATGTACGGATGCTCTGGACTTGTAGAAGACTTTTAATAAAGTGCTTCACTTTACCTAAAATTCAAACTCCACAAACTGAAGGCAAATTATTGACGTGGTAGGAAATTGGCTAGGCCTCATGACACAGAAGAGAGATAATGGGCAGGTCCTATAATTAGTGGGATGTGACTCTGAATATCCTGTAAAGATCCACATTTGGACCTCAAATATTTGTTGTATTTATTAATGTTTTAGATGGGTGAGAATGTCATATATCCAAATGTGCCAATGACACAAAAATAGGCAACGTTGTAAACAGCATAGCTGGGCATTAAGTGAAGGGGGAAATGGATAGAACAGGACAAAGGTGAAATGCTCAAAACAGTGGAGGTCCAAAGATATTTGCCGTAAAGGTACCAAATATCACTGAAATTTCACAAATAGGTGGACAAAATAATCTAAATGATGAATACTAACCTTTTATGCATAGAGACTTGCAATGCCAGGTGATAGAAACCATACTTCAGCTGTATAAAGTCCTGAGGTTGTTGACTTGCTCGCCGAGCTGGCTTGTTCTCGTTCAGACGTTTCGTCATCATCAGTGGAGCCTCCGATGAAGCGATATTATTCTACTCCGCTTGGAATTTATACTGTCTGGCCCGTTATGGTGAGTAGTGTAATTTCCGGTTTTGATCTGTATGGGTTTGTATATGGAGTCCAATTCTATATGTTTCTATATTCTATGTTCCTTAATATCGGTACACTCAGACAATGAAGGCCATCGGTTTAATTGGGACAAGGTAACCATAGTAGCTCAAGCCAAACGTAGATACGCACGGGCGTTCCTACAGGCATGGTTCTCCACCCGTAATGCAATCAACAAACATATAGAATCGGACACTGTATACAAACCCATACAGATCAAAATCGGAAATGACGCTACTCACCACAACGGACCAGATTGTATAAATTCCAAGCGGAGTAGAATAACATCGCTTCATTGGAGGCTCCACTGATGATGTCACCTATCATGGTGATGAAAGGACTGAGCGTGAACAAGCCAGCTCGGTGAGCAAGTCAACAACCTCACCCACAACCCAAACTACAGATCTTTTGCCAAAACTGTATAAAGTCCTGGTTAGATCATACCTGGAGCAGTTCTGGGCACCACATTATAGGAGAGATATATTGATCTTTGAGAGATTTACCAGAATGATACTTTAATTTCCGAGAGTTAAATTAGGAGGAGCTATCACATAAACTAGGGTTGCAATCCCTGGAGTATAGATGACAAGGGATGACGTGATCAAATGTTTCAAGATATTTGGAATACTGATAAAGTAGAAGGGAACTATTTCTGCTGGGTTGGAAGTCTAGATGGTTATGCAATGATTAAAGACAGAACCTTTTTTAAGAGTGAAGTTAGGAAACACTTCCTATGCGTGATAAATTTTCGGAAGTTAGTTGTTTAACAGTTTAGTCCCATTGCAGGGTCAAACAAAAGAAGGAGTTAGTTGAAGAGTGAGTTTGGAGAGGGCTTGCAGAAGTGAGGCAGGGAAATGATAAATTTTGGCAGACTGATTCCTGTATAGCTCCTGAGGTTTGAGGTGATGGCCAAGCAAATAGGATAGAATACAATCATCAGAGTTTAGGACAGGATAGATCATAAATAGGGCAGCAAGGAAAGGGGTAAAGAGTATTTAAAACTGGAAGTAAACACAATATGTGTATAGATAAATGGGCAGATGGTAGGGATAAAGGCTGGCAACGTTGGATGTATAAATTAACAGCTTTTGACAGTGTTTAAGTATATTGAAAGGGTTTGGTTAGCCCAGTGGGCTGGTCAACTTGTTTGCAATGCAGAGTGACTCCAATAGCTTGGATTCAATTCCTGCACTGACTGAGTGAAGTATTGCCCTTCTTAAAATCTCCCCTCATCTGAGGCATGGTGACCCTCGGGCAGTTGTCTGCGATGAAGAGTCTAGGCCCGAAACGTCAGAATTCCTGCTCATATGATGCTGCTTGGCCTGCTGTATTCATCCAGCTCTACACCTTGTTATCTGAGATACTCCAGCATCTGCAGTTCCTACTATCTCCGAGCAGTTCTGTGGTCTGGTTAGACTGTGGTGACTTTGTCTTTCAGTTTATTGGAAAACAAAGGTTACCGTGGATCAACCCACTTCACCTGCAACGGCAAGATATACAGGCAAATCAACAGAACACCTATAGGATAACCGATGTCAGGATTAATAGCGGAAGCTGTAATGCAAAGACTGGAATGGACAGCACTTCCCACCATCCAACCAAAATTATGGATCCATTATGCAGATGACACTTTTGTGATTATCAAACACTGTCTAAACTGGAAGAAACACATCTACTCATAACCAACATCCTCACCGACATAAAATTCACCAGGGAAGAGGAGAACAACTACAGACTTCCCTTCCTGCACGTAATGTTCAAATGTATGGCCAGTGGTGGGCTCCAGACCAGCATACACGGGAAGGTCACCCATACGGATCAGGTACTCCACTACAATAGCAGTCATCCAATACCAGCAAATGGAGCTGCATGAGAACTCTGTTCAAGCGAGCCGCAACACTCTGCAGCACCCCAGAGCTATGCAAAGCCGACGAAGAATACATATGCAGCGTTTCTAGAAACAACAGTTACCCAAAAAGCGTAGTCTGTCGATATCTACACAACAAGAAGACCCACCATGTCAAGAGACACTAGTCACCCTTCCATACATTAAGGACGTATCTGAAATGACCACCAGATTATTCCGCCCCCTATGAATCATGGTAGCCCACAAACTAACAGCTACTGATGAGAATAAAGGATCTGATCGGCACAACTAACAGAACCAACGTTATTTACAAGATACCATGCAAAGACTGCCAAACACATTACATAGGGCACACCGGAAGAAAACTAGCCATCCGGATTCACGAACACCAACTAGCTATCAAGAGACATGACCAACTATCACTCATTTCAATACACATGGACAAAGAGGAACACCAATTTGACTGGGACAACATAGTCATCCTTGGACAAGCCAAGAAAAGACATGCATGAGAATTCCTGGAGGCCTGAAACTCAAACTGGAACTCCATTAACAAACTCCATTAACCCCACATACAAATAGAGACTAGGACTTAAGACCAACTAAGAAACAAATCCGCAAGTGATGCCACCCACCCCTGCAAACCAAGACCCACAAATAGTAAGCGGGACAGAACACCGATGCTTCACCAGAGGCGCACTGATGATGTTAGCTAGCATGGTGGCGAACAAAATTACCAGCTCGCCGAGCAAGTCAACAAGCACGTCAACAACCCGAGCTACAAATCTTCTCAAAAACTTTAACGCTTGTAGTGTCATTAGCCACTAGGGCTGGGGCAGCTTCAGTGCTCATTATTACAGAAGGAACAGTGGAGTTTTTTTTTACATAATCCCGTACGTCTTTTTACAGCACTGTCAAAAGTTAACTTGGGAAACTTCACTTCCCACTAATTTCAATTCTAGATGCGTGAAATATCATGCTCCATTTAACTATTCACGTATGCACAGACATGCTCAGATGGTTTAATGTTCTATCCTATAAAAGGTATTATTTATGAACGTCTGTTCTAATAACTTGTCTGTTAATATATTTTCTATTTCAGGTAGGATTTACTTTTGGGAATCTAGTGGGAATGTATCTGGCACAAAACTATCAGGTATGTTTATGAAAAAGAATTGCTGCATTCCAGGGATAATTTTACATAAGTCAGGATATTTGATCAAAGGGCAGAATGCTAATGTGTTATGGTTCTTATATTTCTATAATATTCTAATCCACTGTTCGAAATTTATGAAATCATTCAAGCAGATGTTGTGTAACTGGTTTGTTTCACTTCCATTTCCTATTGGTTTTTCGTTTCACAATCTTTTTTGAAGATAATGGCATGAAGATAACCTGATGCGCTGTGATGTACTCTTGACTACCTTTAAATAATGTTCTTTGTGTGAACTGTTTTCTTGTCCTATTTTCTGTTGTTTTAACATCTATATTATTTGTAGCAACTGCACAATCAAGTGCTTGTCTTTAATTAGTTCGTTACAATATTCAACATGAGAGCTCAGTTGCAGCAAATAATAATTCTGTTTGATATGATTATTTATTGGGATCATGATTCACTGTTAAACTTGGTATACAGCTTTACTATTTCAGCCTGACTATAGCAAACAGTGGTTTGATTCAAACACTTTTTTTTTAAACTTTTGATCTGTACATTTCATTCATACCAATATTAAGTTACAATTGATTAAAAGACACCCTGCAAACTTAAGGTAACATGGAACCAAGAGGAACTTGTGTTTCCCTCCGCCTCTTCCAAACATTCTGTTAACGTGCATTTTAATGACTTTATTACTTTTAAACAGCAATCAAACAACATGGTCCAAACCTTTTAGACATAGATGGGAATTTTCCCATATTTTTTCAGCTCTCGTCCTTTGCAAAACATTCCTGTTCAGAAAGGAAAGCTTTTGACCCATTGAATGCTGATCTCACAAATGGAGATACATGGGTGGTAATGAACCCTTATTCCCAAATTGTAGGTGTATAAGAATGAATGCGCAAGTTTCTGTCCTCAGTGGTACGTCTAATATAGCTCAGTTTTTGTTCCTGTTTACCCCATCTGACTGATTATATATAATCTCAAGTATTTTTAAAAGTTAATTTTTTGTTCGTTGTACAATAATATAGTGGTCTTAGGTTCCTGGCATATTGTTAATGTGTGCAAGTTATATTTGTTCACAAATGGCTACAAGTCAGTAAAGCAATGACAAGAATACTAATATGACAAGGTGATTCAGGTCCTACAGTGGTAATATATGCAGGCTGAGAAATTTACAGCTTTCTATACTGGATGCCCTTGATGTAGTTAGGTAGCCTGTAACTCCTGAATCTTGATCCACAGGACTACCAGGCTAAGAAATTGAGATTTTTCATTAGAGTTTCCATGCAAAATTTGAGTTCTTCTCAAACAAATAATTTAAATATCACTTTGAAGGTAATGAATTTTAAGAAATATGATTGGTTGCTTAAAGTTAAGAGAGGGCAGCTTGCTTCCTAAATTCACTGAAGTCTTTGTTCCAGAGTATCTAACCTTCTCGTAATTAATATTAGTTAACTGAAGGAACAGTTGATCCACAGGATGCAGCTTGTCCAAAGAAAAGGAAGAAAATTGATCTTGCTGCCACTACTCAAAACGAAGATACACTTTACAACAGGGAAAGAAGATATACAGAAAGTACTCAAGTTTTAAAGTGGCAGGCATTGAGTAAAATTATAAAGTTATCCCCATTGCTCTAACATCAATATTTTAGGCCATTCACAGGTACTTGTTCATGGTAGATTTTTGTTGAATAACTTACTGATAGAGGACAAAATCAACACACCTTTGATGTATGGGCCTTTTGGGATACCACCAGCAAAAAGCAGCCCCAATGTTATGAAGTTGTGTCGAGTAATCATGAATTGGAAGGCAGAAAGCTAGAATTTGTTTGCAGAAGTAGGAGGAAGAAGAGTGCATGGTTCCCTTAAGAAGTAAAGTGCTCTTGTAAGCTGTGTCTGTATGTAGCTGAAGATGTACAGCCAGTTCTCAAATTGAAACATACATCAATTGGCTGTGTGATTGGAAACCTTAGGCTTGTTTTGATGTTTTGGCAACTAGCTGGAATTGGCCAATTAATTTAAACCAAGCACTTAACGATTGAAAGCCAATTGAATTTAAATCTGATGGCTTTGACAACCTCGGACCAATGCTATTGTAAGAAAATTGATATGTCATCCAAGGTATATAAAGAGAGGGTGTTTGAAAATTGGTGAGAGAGCGACCTGCCATCTGAGAAATAAGCATATAGCTCTCACAAGAAATCACTAAGCTGTCTAAGAAAGCACCATAAAATGTACCACGGCACTTCTAGCTAAGAATCCTCACAGAAGATTTCACAGAAAAAAAAATCCCTGACAGCTGGATCAGCAGAAGAAATGTGTTTATGACTTGAGAACAACAGAAGAAAGCTGTGTGGACTTTGAGAACAAAGTTTTAATTTATTTTCTTATTACTTGGGTTTATATAATTGGGACTTGTGTTTATTGGAACAGCATACCAATAGAATTTAGTTCAGTTAGGGAATAGTTAGTAGTTAAGGGAAAAACTGTTCAGTTTGTTAGTAATTCTGTTAATTTGTTCACTGTGAGGATTAAATAAATAAATTGTTGCTTGTTACTTTTAAAGTGAATGTCAGGGATTTTCTTTCATTTTAACCTCCCCTTCTCTGTAACACCCATGTAGACACAGATTCTCTATAAATAGATACTTGAATCCAAATGGTCTGGACATTCTATATGTTCTGAAGTGAGAGACATAAATGCTGTATCCACTCAATAGGATGCGGATGCACTTGCATTTGGTTAGCAGTATTATCTTTGGGACTTCTGTCTGTAATGTGACCTGAAGTCTGTAGTACCAGTGAAGTCACCTGCCTGTGGTGGTAACTGCCCCAGAGCATTAAAGTGGATGACAAAATGGTGAGTACCTCAAGCATGTGATTGTGAGACTGTTGTGTGAAATCCGTAACACGAACATTTATTTTGAATTTGGAGCTTTTTCTCTTGTGCCATGGGCTTGTGCTTCACAGTGCAGTTCCCTGAAAGAAAGTTTAAACATGTAACTCACTGTTCATTATACAGGCATATACATGGATAGTTCTTGAGATCTGATTAGAGTTGAAACTTTGTAACTGAAGTAATTTTGCACCCATCTTGGGTTTAGATATTTTTATTACCATAATTCAAATATTGGTAAAAATCAACAAATATCATTAGCTAACATGCTTTACTCCAGTAAGATGTTATGTCCTTTTCATTGGTAATGACTTTGTAAAATCGTATCTTTAACATCCTTGGAGGCAGAATCTGTAGGCTAAACTATTTAAGGTCATTTTTTGGGTTTCCTTGCCAGGTTTTCAACTATGTTTATTTAGAATGGAAGAAAGTTTATGCCCAAATGTATTGTTCTGTTTTTAGATTCCAAATATCTATAAGAAGTTTGAAGAATTCAAGAAGGATGCAGAAACCCGAAGAAAACCACCAAATGATCGATCCTGATGTTCACAACCCACAGATAAAATTGGGATATCCACATTCAATCACAAGCACTATATGGACTGGGTGCAATAAGTAACAAACTGTATTGGGTCCATTTAAGTACTATTTATTTAGTACTAATTAAGCATCAGTATACTCATTCTGAGTCACCAGTATTTATATTACCGCTGACCTATTGTTTTACTATGTTTGATCCAGTTGGAATTTAAAACTGCTTGTATTTGTATAGCCACTTTAATATTTGATGGGATGTCAATTTTAGTTAATGGAATTTAAATTGTGACTGAAGGTTTGTGCTAAAAACCATTGATGACAACATAAAATCTATGTTGACTCTGATATCCTGCTCTTTGTATTCAAATTGTAATTAATTATAACACACTGTTCTCAAAATACAGAGTCACTGGCAGTGTAACAATGTATTTCAGCATTGACATTCTTTAAATTTACCTTGCATAAAAAGTAATGCGCTGCTTGTGTGTGAGATAAGTAGAAAATTCTATCATTGGTTAAGAAATCTTGAATTGATCTTAATGATGACCATGAAACTGTTGTTGGAAAAACCCATAAGTGTTTCATCATGCCGTTTTGGGAAGGAAATTTGACACTCTCACCCATTCTGGCCTATGTGACTCTAGGCTCAGAGCAGACTCTTAACTGCCTTCTGAAATGGCTTAGTGAGCTACTCGATTTGTAACAATTGTTACAAAAAGTCTCAAAAAAGAAATGAAATCAGTTTACCTATCAACGTCCTAGGCACTAGACGTGACAATGGCAAATACAGCCCTGTTGCCTTGTAAAGTCCTTATCATTAACATCTGCGAGCTAGTGCCAAAATTGGGAGAGCTGTCTCACAGTAGTCAAGCAACAGCCTGAAATAGTCGTTCTCATGGAATCATACCTTGCAGACAGTGCCCCAGACACCACTCCAACCATTCATGGGTATGTCCTGTTCCACCGGCAGCTAGTATAGTGGTATACAGTTAGGAAGGAGTAGTCTGAAAGTCTTCAATATTGATTCTGGACATCATGAAGTCTCATGGCACCAGGTCAGACATGGACAAGGAAACCACCTACTGATTATTATGTACCAACCTCCTTCAGCTAATAAATCAGTGCTCCTCCATGTTCAACCTCACTTAGAGGAAGCACTGAGGGTGACAAGGGTAAAAAGATACTCTGTGGGGGGGGGGGGG